GCATAACTTACCAGCTAGCATACATTATACGCAAGATGCATGGATGTACATGGGAGGCGATTCGGGGCCGCCTCCAAAAACTAAGCCCCTTGTTCCGCTCCAGGATAGCGTGGCTAACTACCTGGAGGTCTATCCTAGCCCACACGACAGAGCCTGGCAAGCTACTCGTGTGCCTTCAATATGCCGAAAACAGCAATATGGATGGGCCTCATTCCCCTGAACCTGAGGGAGCCCCCAATACGGCAGCGTTGGGTAGGACCGCTCGGGAGAGGCTGCTAGAATCTCAGGGCCCGGATAGGCTGCCTAAACGAAGAAGGACTAAGATGGCGATCTGTACATATCCGATCGAGGGAAAAAACATGCGGTTACTGGTTTTGCATTGCAGTTTTTTGGAAGTTGTTTGCATTGTCACACAATATTATTGAAACAACTTTTATTTCATCATATTCGAAAATATAAACTAAAATAAAGGGAAGAAGGTTTATTTCAAAGTGATTAGATATGTGTTTCTTATTCTTAATTGTCATCCAGTTCGTTGATCATTTAGGAGGTTCAGCTGGAGCAGAATTCGGAGCGGATCCGGATTTCGTGATCTCTACCGGGTTGCCACTCGGCAACTGCTGTTGACTGTCACTAGATTTTGACTTTAATTCGCCTCCGTCCTTGACATCGCCGTTCCTTAATGTCGGCTCCGTCGGTTCCTCCTTCTTCTCTAATTCTTCGACCACTTTCTTTTCTTCTTTCTTTTGTTCTTTTTCCTTTGAATCACTCACCGGCTTTTGTGTTGATTCAATTTGTTCACTCGGCGTTGAAAGTGCTTTTTCTTTTGGCAAAGGAACAATCTTTTCTCTCGACTTGGGAATAACCTTTTCTTTCGACATGTGAGCACCCTTTTCTTTTGACATCTGAACACCCTTTTCCTTCGACATATGAACACCTTTTTCTTTCGACATATGAGCTATCTTTTCCTTCGATATGTGAGCTACCTTTTCTTTCGACATTGGGACCGCCTTTTCTTTCGACATTGGGACCGCCTTTTCTTTTGAAGCTGCTGCTGGTTTCTCCTTCGATTTAATCTTTTCATCTTTCTTTTCTTTACCCTTAGCATCTTTTTTCTCTTCGTCTGTCTTCGTTTTCTTTTTCTCAATTTTGAAATCTTTTTTGTCATCCTTATCTCCGAGAAATAAATCGTCAATTTCGAGTGGTCCTTGGAGAATCTCGCCTGATAACCTTACGCCGAGTTCACGTAGTTTTTGGTCGTCCTTACTCCGGACACCGAACCTTTCGAAGAGCTTTTTCTCGACGTCGGGCAATGACAATTCCGTTGGCATTTCAACTCGTCTCTCTATGTCGGTGCTGCCAGTCGTTTGTTCGGATGAGTCTCTTTTGACTTCCTCCTCCATCAATGGTGGATATTTCGGGGGCGGTTGCGTTTTCTGCAAAAGAACCTTGTAGCCTATTACGTGAGAACCGTTGTAGGGCGGCCATCAGAAAGTCAGTCATTGAGGCTAACAGCACTATCAGACCATGCCCATTGTGCCAATTTCTAGAACTTTTACGACCCCCCCCCTTCACGAGAAGTTTCATACGACCCCCTCTTCACAACCACTTTTCCCTCAAAAAACAGGGGAGGGGGTATATAACTGTCATGAAACCGCAAAATTCCCTATATTTCCCTTCATTTTCCCCCATTTTCCCTCATTTTCACCCATATTTCCCTAGTACATACGACCCCCCCCACCACCACAAACTTCAACAAACTACGACCCCCCCGTTGGTACTTGTAGCAACGTAGGGTTGACCATGGTCTCGACACGGTCCTCTTTCTCTTTTACCATGGCCGTTTCCAAGAATATAGAATACTCAATCCAAAGCCTGTTCTGACAACTTACGACACACTTCAATTCCGCCCCAAGCATCTCGAAATTCCTCAAAGGTTTTTTATTTCCTAGTGGGAGACTGAGAGCGATTTGGAGCAAGCTCTAAAACGGCAGATTTCGCACGTTAACCCATCCTGTGCACTTTTAAACTGCGAAATCTCTCTCGAAGACGATTGACCCACCCCTCCCTTACGAACGTAACCCATTCGACTTTCGCCACCACTCCCCTGTATTTATTTATTTATTGGTCAACCGCAGACAAGGTATGCAATATTGTCACCTTAATCAAAGCCGATGACTTCACTCAGTAGTCTGAGAAGAGTTTTTACTACTTACCAGGAAGGGTCATTAGGCCAACCCGGCCAAATGAAATGAGGTGCACATTTCTGTACGCAGCATGAGACGCTGAACTCAAATCTGCTTTCACTATCTGCTGAACTCTTCTCTGAAAGGAGTTACGGAGGGTTTTTGTTGCCGCCCTTGATTTTCAGTGTTTTACCTGCAATCACATGTTAGCCGCACTATAAAAGTAATCGAAAGGAGAACCGAGGTGTTGGCGCCGTGAGCCTCGGTAGCGCAGTTGGTAGCGGTCGTGTTTCTCACGAGGGTCGGGGGTTCGGTCCCCTACGGGGGTTCGTTGTTTTGCTTTTTTTCCAACATGGCTGAAAAGCCTTTTTGAATCTGTTATTTTACCAATGGTCGCCCGACGCTACATCTACGAAGAGTTTGCAAGCTGACCCTCTTAAACTTAAGCACTACTTGTCTGTGAAAGCCTATGGTGCCCGTAGTGCAGGTGCTATGCTTTTCCGTGGCAAGTAGGTATGATATTCGTATTCAGGGGATCAAACTACCCCTTACAGCGAGTTTTTCGCCAAATCTGAGGCGACGAAATAATTGAGAAAAAGCGGGGCAGTGATGGGATTACCACTCCTCAAACTCCACTTTTTTGGGTTGACCAATCATGGACGACGGGGGAAAGGGGAGAGAAGGTGTTGTATTAGGAAATAATGGTTTGTAGATCTTTGGATGATGCAGACGGGCAAGCCAGACACAATTTTCGTCTATTATGAAAAGTTTTTAAAAAATTTATTCTACCCAAGTGCCAGCCTTTTGTAATGGATTGGTGGATCGGTGAGTAAGTGACTGCCCAAATTTTCGAGGTTAGGTCAAAATTTCAGAATTCGCTAGAAGTTCGCTCAAAGGGAGAGTCTGACTCCCTGATTACGAATATCATACTTGTTCGAAGCAAAAATGCCTGGCGCCTGCGCTACAAGCGCCCAAAGGTGAGGAGTGCCCGCCAAGTTCATTATTAATTGCCCTCAAATTCTTTTTACTGTTAACTATACGCAAGCATGTTCGGACTAGCAATGTTAGGAGTCTTCCTAGCTATCTTACTGCAAACGGCAAAAGAACAAACTCGCCAGGGAGTTGATCCCCTGACCTCTTTTTCGTGAGCCTCGACCACAGCCCCTGCGCTTTTCTGCTTCATAATTCCTTTCAGAGAAGAGTTCAGCAGATAAGGAACACATATTTGAGCTCAGCGTCCCAAGGCGCGTATACACATATACATCTCATTTCAAATGGCCGGGTTGACCAAATGACCTTTCCTGAGACTGAAACATTCCTGAAACCTAACTAGAACGTATGTGCTATGAAGCTGATAGGAGAACTAGCTTTTATAACCTTACGTAAATACCTTTTCTCAAAAATGGCACAATTTGCCCTTCCTCCCCCCCCTCCCCCACCAGTTGAACTTGGCACGAGTGACGATTGACTCTGCAGGCAAGATGCCTCTGAATGAATGGCTGCTTGCAACTGAAGCGTCTCGACCAATATGCACCTATGGACTCGCTCAACATAGCCTACCGATTTGTTGAGTGTTCCCTTACAAGCACAAGCACGTAATGGCTAGTTGATTACCCACCATGAAGTTGTATAGCTGTTACTTACTCGTCGTTTCTTCTTGGGAGGCGGAGCCGAGTTCACCTTGATAGGATCGCTTTTGAAAAAATCCGCCGCATTCTCCCACGCGTACGGTCCTTTCAAGCGTTTTTGCTAGAATATGTTCCAAATTTTCCCTTTCGAGACGTTTATTTTTTGAATTAGATTATTTTTGTAATAGTTTTTTCGGGGATTTCTATTCAACAATAATATTTAGTCGTTTTACATTGCACATTTATACTCTGCTTAGGGGAATTACACTGTGCGGCTTATTTCAAAAGTATTGGTATACATCGAACAATTCATTCTTCAGGGTTTTTTTTCGGTAGAGTCAGCGGATTAAGTACAAAGCATTCCTTGTTGATTGTTCTGTTGGAATGCGCCGCAATTTTTACCTTCATTCAGAATGTATTGAGTGCGGTTAAAGGATAAAGGATAAAGCATTTGCCGTTGATCAATCCCTTTTTGGGATGCGGCACGCATTCTACTTCCATTTGTACATTCGTAGTGGCGTTTGAATGCGATGTGGCCTATACAATGACTTGCGGGGGCCAGCCGATGTACAAGTCAGTGTTTTTATCCTCCCAGACAAGTCTGGTACCAATTAACCGAGGGATGGAAGGCTTGGTTGGCCCGGGCGACTCACGACCCAGGATTTGATCCCCGGACCGCTCGCGTGGTAAGCGTGCCACTTGCCACTACACCACTTCCGCCCATGATGCGATTTGGCCCTAGATATTTTGCCTTGTGGGGCCATATTGTGTGTTTGTTTTCATTACTAAACACGGGTTTGATACCAATAACTGGGCCAGGGAGGATGTGTGAACTTTTTTTGACTTGATTGGAACTTCCACGGGCGCGGAATTGATCTCCGTACATGTCTACACGTGACAGCGTGAGCTATCACTTTTCACCACATTAAGCTCTGCCGCTTTCCCATTCGCTCGGGTAGATAAGCCGACTTTATTTTAAAAAATAAGCCCCCGACTGTTCGCTGAAGTTAATCTGCCAGGATATTAGTGAGATTCTTATCAATTAATTGTTTCTTTGAAAAGAACTACATCATACTCTCCCTTTGGTTTGCATTTGGTTTTATTGATGTGGCTGTTTTCCTTTTTTTAGATATTTCAGAGCTTACAATGTTTCTGACAGTCTCTCCGGCTTCTCCCAATCATACGGATCCGATGCTTTAGCTCCCACACGTTTCATTACCGCCACCAGACCGTTATAGAACATCCTAAGAGAACAGATACGTTCGGAGCAACGTCCAGAGGTTTTGAATACGCCGTGAACTCACGAGTAGTCGCGCTCTTTTTGATAATCCCCTTAATTTTTTAGCGTGCGTAGGTACGCGTATAATTGCCCCCCCATTGGAAGGTTTCGACTGGAAAAGATTTCCCTTAGCCATCACGAGGTTCTAGCGACACGCTCGTCATGTGTCTTGTTAATTTGGAAGAAGCGATTACGATAGCTAGGGAGCGCGTGGGGAAGTACTAGGTTGAGTACTAAATAATGTTTCGCTTTTTTAAAAACAGCGCCAAATTTTTCAAAACATGTTTCTGTTGTTCCCGCCAAAGTAGTATGGAGGGACCTCAGCATACTTTTATACCACAAAATTTGACCTCCCTTACTCGTCTCTGGGTAGCAATAATGCCGTACACTTCGACTCATGTTCGACACTGCCTTCTTCACGAGTTACGTGCTGGTGGCTGGGACACTCAGCAGGCCGGAGCTTGTCGCCAACGAATATCGCTACACAAAAGACCGGACAACTTGGCGGTAAACGAAAGGACTTGTGACCAAATGGACCTTCAGTCAGTCTTCACCTCGAAGCAGGGTCAACCCTACGTTGGTACAAGTACCAACGGGGGGGTCGTACTTGGTTTAGCTTGGAGGGGGTCCCACTTTAGTCAGTTGAAATCACGTTGATGCTGCGGATTGAGGCGAAACGGAAAGTGGAGTATGAGGTAAAATTGCGGGTGAAATGGTAGAAGTTAGACAGGAAATTTCCGCCCGAGATAGTTTTACCGCTTCGCGAGAGCTGACCATATACCCCTCTCCCCCTTTCCCCTTCCCCTCCTCCCTCGCCCCCGCCTCGATCGCCGCATTTTTGCCCGCAGCGAAAAAGTGGGCGGGGTTTGGTGAGTTGAGTGGTATCAGAATTAAGTACTATAGAGACGATGATGGTGGTCGAGGTGTCGAAAAGGGGGTCGTATCAAATCCACCTTGGGGGAGGGGGGTCGTAAAAATTTTTCAGAAAGTAACAACGATAGGACCGACCCTGCCTCGAAGACAGCAGAGTTCTGGCAGAAAGGAATCCACTCACTGACCGATGGAGTACAGTTGTAGAAAGTTGTGGTAAATATTGCACTTAATAAAGTTGCTTGCAAAGAAAGTTGTATAATTTTGAATATCGGTCCCAGAACCGGACATTACTTAGTACTCAACCTAATATATGCGCCATACGAAGCAGTATCTGGCTGTCAGGAAAGCGATATGTGGCGCTTTCACAACAAAAGGTGCGCGGGTTGCTGAGCAGGACTTGAAAAGCACTAGAGCAACTCGACTGGAGCATGGATTGGCATGGCATGGTCACCAAATGCATCACGGTAAACTCGTCCATACTTCCGCCGTCTCAGCCGCTGCCCTCCGTGAGCGAATCAACGGCCACACAAGGGGTCCCGTTTTGCGTTTTCTTGACGGATTTCTCTGCTTTTTTCGCCACTGGCGTACCACTGAGCATCCCCTGGTCCCCTCTAGAACTTATCGTAATCGCTGGCTCCAATCCATTACTCAATCGATCGTGTAATTCATTGTGTACGGACGCGCGCTGTTGCGTAGCGGCACTCTCAAAAGGGTACCGTATGGGAACTGGCAGATAACATCCAGATCACAGGAGATGAAATCAGAAGTTATCGTCAAAATCAGAAGTCAATCCCACACGTAGTTAGTTCACGTGACATCAAGCGAAACTAAGCGAGCCTATAGTACTCTACTGACGCAACCGCATGCGTCAGTAGAGTACTATAGGCTGATTATGAGTATGTTGCACGTGTTTAGAAAGCTACCTGGGAAATTCAGCACAAGGTCTTGATCGCTCATGTTCAGCTTCAACAGCTCGACCTGATCATCAAGTAGGTTATGTGCTATACTTGTTAGACTTTCAGTGTCCAGAAAAACCAACCTTTTGTTTATCACGTAACGTCTGCCACGGTAGCCCGCAGTGTAGCTCGATGAAGACATAGTAGAGTGACCAGAGATCATCGCGACGTCCCTTAATCCGTTATGATAACCTCATGGTCAGATTTTCAATTGATTGTTTCCTCCAGTGTAGTCGGCCAGGATACCCTCCAGGGCCATCTGTTTGTGATGCCAACTTCAAGGGCGGACTTTACGATTGAAAAGCAGCCCATTTGAAGTCAAGGTGGAGGTGGTCAGTGATGGTAGGTTGAAAAAACAAGAAATAAAAAATAAACAAAAACGGCCTAGAACCCGGGAAGTGGAACCTCTTTTTTGCCTGTTGATTTCGCATTGGAGCAAGTCTCATCCATGCTGCCGTCATCAGCGTAGACACTCTGCTCTGCGTCTCTGCTAAAGCTGTGAAGTCCGTGGCTAGAGTCCGACGGCAAGGAGTTAGCCAGTCGGCAGCGGCGCGAGTGCGCAAGCGCGACTCTGCATAGCTTTTGCTCTGGAACGCGCACCGTCCCGCACTCTTACAATTAGAGCCCACCTGCTTTTTGACCACATTATTTCCCTTTATTCGACCTGCGACCCTATCGTAGAATTCTCCTAGAAGGAGGGCGTGCTTGGGGTTTGTGCATGGGGGTCGTGTCTGAAATTTTTGGATGAAAAAATGGAGTATTCAGTGGAGTGATCGAGATTAGAGCATTTGCCATTTCTGTAGTCATATTTACCCGTTTGGAGGGAAACGGCGGGGCGGTAGTGTGTCGATTACTGGAAAGCGCTGGAGGAGGAGCCTCGAATACTCTTTTACGTTCTCGTTTTCTTTTCGTTTTTTATTCACACTAGATTCGTAATCGAATTCCACTCACATTTTGAAACCCCAAACAAACCAGGAAGTTGATTAGTTTCAACAGTTATTAGAAAGCCTTGAATCTTTGCTTCGTAAAATAAACAGTATCTTTCGCACACTAAGGCTAACCGGCTCC